TACAAACTGTGGTTGTTTGTGTTCCAGCTCTTTGAGCGTGTGTGTAAAGTATCTCTGCCATCGACTCTGCTTCACTGAGTCTCCTTCACTTCCAGCCTCTGTTCCTTTGGCCTCTCGAACAAAACAGTCCACACTTCACCCCATGCAGATCACTTCACCCCTTCACCCCTCAGCGTATCACAGCACGGTGTTTACAAAGGTGCAGATCCCTCGGCTGCTGATGCTGATGCTGTACTGTCCGTGTTGGCTGCTTGTAACGGGATCTGTTCAAACTTATTGTATTTTTTAACATAAACTTTTAGGTGTTTTAGTTTTTAGTTTAGTTTTAGGGTCTTTTTCTTTTACCTCAGCCCTACTTTTTTTACTTAACTTCTGGCATTAGCGTCATTTTTGTTTTCATGGAGAGGTAAATGGAAAACTTACATGAAGGCCAGTTCAGCTGGAAGTGGTTTTACTTCCTCAATCAAAAATCTGAAATGACTCAGTGTTCCCTCGGAGGAGACGTGAACACACAGGTTTTGTTCTAACTACAGGTTCAACTGGACATTTCACTGTAGGTTTTCTGACTGAGGACATTGCATGTATATACAATGTACAACAAAGCAGAGACAACATTCTCTATTTGATTCGATTTCCTCTTTCAAAAAGAGTTTTTTTTTCTTTTTTCCTTTTTAAATTACCTAATTCAACCGTTGTTGTTGTTGTTGTTGTGTTCAACAATGATCTGAAAACCAAATGACCCTGTGGGGTTGTATGTCTATTGTGCACCCCAGGGGCAAATCATGGCAGAACAATGAGTGAATGGCCCCTGGCCCCTGCACATCTTATTTGGTCCCTAACTGCTTTTAACAAGTGATTATTCAAAGGTCGTTCTCCAGGCCAGGAATTTCACTTTTTTTTCCCAGGCATTTTTGCTTTTACAAAATATGTTTCATAGACTTTTGGGATCTCTTTTTATTTTTTTGGACCGTTTTCTCAGATTTATGTGATTATCTGTTGGACAAGCTTTATCTGTCTTCTTGGCTTGGTTTTAGCTTTGTGTGCTAACTTTTAAAGATTGTTTTCTTTTGGCAGCCTTTAGCTTTTTCTGTCAATGTTTTTTTTTGCTAATGTTTAGAAAATTATGAGCTGGAGCAAACATCTGAGCAAATGGCAATATTATCGCACAACTGTCAAGAATGTTTCTTAATGTTGTAATATGTTGTGATTATGCAACATGTTCAAATGGAACCCTCTCCCCCAAAAACGTTTTGGACATTGGCTCTCGACAGGACAGGATAGGAACACATGTTGTACCATGCAGTGTATGCCATTGTTTCCCAAAGACATTTTTTTTTTCCGTCTCGCATCATGTTTCCCAGGAGTTTATGAATAATGTCTATTGATCTGGGTTGTGAAGGTTTGTGACTTTTAAAATATGGGTTCCCAAAAAAAAAGTTTGGGAAAAACTGGTGTATGAGGCCATTTAACTAGACCTGGATCCAATAACTGATGAGACATTGATACCTATTGATATTCAATTCAACTTATATTTATCATTTGTCAGGATTTCCAATGTTTCTTTGCACCAGAGATCCAGGTAAGGCAGACCAATAACATGGACTGTAAAAAGTCACATGACCTGCCAATTACATCCCATGCTTTAAAAATAAGACTTTTTATACACATGTATAAAGGGACAGGAGAAATACAAATGTTAAACTATAGTATATAATATAAATATGAAATTATTCTATTATCATTATTTAATCAAATGAACCTCCTACATCAGTAGTGATCTGTTGAGATTTGAACCGACCATCCCTGCCCCGTAGCAACACAAAAGAACCTTTTTGTATGATTTCCAGTCGAACAAAACAAAACCATATTGCGTGTGTTCGGAGCTGCTGCTGATGTGCACTGAACATGTTTCTCATAGACGTTGGTTTTGGCCTTGGCTCCGTACACTGTTGTGCAGAGAGTGACGTAGAAATGATTGGACAGTTGGAATGGCTGAGACCGGGGAGAACGCACTGAGATGGAAAGTTCATTTAAAAGGATTTGGGAATAATCCCTTGAAGTTAGCACCGGGTATTTAATGGGATGGGCTCCGGCTCGACTCCCCTCGGAGCTGCTGCCATAGTTACACGTTTGTTGGAAGGCAATCATAAAAGGAGCACCTCACTCTCTCCCC